ATTCACTGACAAGCAACACACTTTCTACTGAACATTTGATTTCTTTGTGATTGACTGCTCTCTGTTTTCAACATTTTTCAAACTTTGATTCTAAGGTTTCTTTCCAGTTCCACCTGCTCAAAAACCACTCCCTTTATCTTCTCCTGTTTTTCTACTTATGATGCAGTAGCAAGTCTTCCTCTGCAGTTCCCTTTGTTTGGATTATTCATAGCACACTTCTCATGCATTACACATCTCTACATTTATTCATTTTTTTCCTCTCTCTCCATCTCCTAGACTTTTTCAGATTGTTTGGTTCACTGAATTAAGTGAATGATTCTATGATTCTAAATCGAGTGAAAGATCATATTCAAACTAAACTTGAAAATAGATGTGTCTAACAAGGCATCTGGACATCTAAATTGTGTGGACTGCAGTGAGGTCCTAGATAATATGAGTGCGGATTTGAGATGTCTGCTTTAATGAACCGAACTTGGCACAGAATTGGTCTGTGAATGTTCACACGCAGTCATGACAGATTTTTGGTGTTGGTGATCTCTAGTAAGCGGCAGTATTGAACAATCAAATGTGACAAGGTCTTAATATATCATAACTAGGTGTGCAAATATATATCTATTTGTGCCCTGAGGTTTATCAGCTAATTTGCATGCACGCTTTCATGAGTATTTGTTTTCACTTTTAGTTGCCTAAAAGCTTTGATAAACCTGACACCAAGTTCATTACCAATATGATATGCCATGCACATAGCAAAAATAGAAGGTATTTTTTTCCTCCCTGCTATACTTTAGGTTGGTACTTGCAGGACATATAAATGAATATAAATTCCTTAGTGATTATTTGAACAAGCCTCAAATGCAATAAATCATATGTAGCAAAAAATGCTAAAGTAAAAAAAAAAAAAAAAAAGAAAATGTTCCCTGTTGGGTCTCCTTATTTAGGTCATCTAAGCACTGTTACTATATCAATCAACTCTTTTACCTACTTAATTGAGTCAATGCCAATGCACTGTGTAGACCATATGCATAGCTCTTTAAAGTAGCTATTCCTCAATTATGTAACTGTACTAATTTTATTAATATAATCTGTGGAGAATCTGAAAATCCAAGATTACTGTAACATCAATATTTTGCCATCTGCAGATTGCTGGAGATCTATATATTTAAATAAAGTCTGTGAACATCAATAAGACCAGGTATTTTTTTTTCCTTTGCTGCACTTCTTATTGATTATTAATTCAGACTTTTGGGCACTGCAAGCAAGCTGGAAACTCTGCTTCTGCAAAAGGGGATTGCACGTCACTTCCCAAATGCAAATGCAATAGACAGTGAGGAGGGCAGAAGGAGGCAAGAGGACAGCAAACCATTCCTTTTCTGCTACGGCAGAATTTGAGCAATGTCTTATCTCAGGTTCACAAAGTAGGATGTAACTAACACTCGAGTGCACTGGCAGGTAGTTCTTTAGTGATTTACCTCTGTTATTTACAATGCTGTTGAACTCTGTCTTACCCAGCAAATAAATGCAACGCTGTACCTGCTTAAAATTAAATGTGTATTAGTGGTTGGTAGATCAGGGCCAGGATATTCAACATACAAACCTAATACTTGCTGTTGCTATTTACAATAAATATATCTTATCTTTTTTTAGAGTTTTTTTTTGCTTTCGTTTTTTACTTATGTTTTCAAATTTTTTAATTGGTTCATGGCTCTCCTGCAGCTTCACTGCAGGGAATTTGTGTTGTCAGGTTTGGAAGGATGAGTATTAGTTTGACAAGTCACTCTGCAGGTCTCTTGATACTTCCTTATTTTCCATATGTCATGAGTTAGATGTTTTGGAGATTAATTTTAAACAAAGCAGCGTATTTAATTTCCCTTCAGGAGCAGAGAATTTATTTAAAAAACCCCTCCAGTTCTCCTCATCAAAACCTGCATGATCCCTTTCCTGTTTTTACAACTAATTAACTGATCTAGCTGCAGGATTTTCCCAATTTCAAGGTAAGGTTTTTCATTGCAACTGTGTGATATAGTGTAACTGTAAAGGTCTCTCAATATGGAAAAGCCAACCTGCTTTCTTTACTGGTGTGTGTATTGTAAAATTATTCTTTTGCATTGCTATTACTGCTGAAGGGAATTATTTTTCGATGAAAGAAATGGAGCATAGTGTAAGTTTTCCTATCTGAGGATTAAGTGGCACTGCGATAGTTTTATGATTTCCATAATTAAGGGTGAATTTAATTATTTCTATTTTAATATATCTCCATATTGACTAATAGAGGCTTTCCTTTAGTGCTGACTTTAGTATGGAAATTTTAAGCTGAAATCTAAAAAATAGAAAAAAACTGTGGTCAAAGGGCAAAAAAGAATATTGGGGTTTTTTTAGGAGGATGGTGGAGTGTAACAATACCTTGCTGAGACTGCACAAACAATGGGTTAGGTAAGGCAAGAACAGAAAAGTGAAACAGGAACAGGAACTGCAAAGATGAAAGCTATTAAGGAGAATTTATCATTTCAGGTTCTGTCTCTCCGATTGGCTTGGCTTTCTAAAGTAACTGCTCATTGTTTGGTGTTCTGGATCTTCTTTAGATGTTGCTTGTAATGAACGGGCACAGATCTGTATTTCTGAGCAAGTCATGTTGTCTGTAATTCCTCCCCTGATCCCCTCATTGCTGTGTACAGACTGTATGTCTGGTTGTTCTATATTCCAGTGGCACAGGCCTGTGCTTTCTGCCCCGGATCCCCACTTGCAGCCAGAGGTGTGTAGGCGTTGCTTTGGGTCTGTCATTCCCAGCCACTGTGCCTGCCTTCTGCTGAGCTGGAGGAACGAGGTATGCTCAGCTGCTTCATTCTCCCAGTGTTACTCACAAAAACTAAGGGAAGGAAAGGCCCTTCCTTTCCCAGTGTCTCCATCAGGATTTTTTGTTCGTGTTTTCAAGATAACAGTATATCTAAAAGTTCTTATTTTATTTGTTTTAGATGGTTTGTTTCTCTCTCCTTAAGGACATACAGGACAATTTCTCTGGCAACTTTCTTGACTTGCAAATGCCTTATCTATCTGTTTTTAAGTGTTTCCTACTCTTTCTTTCATTTTCAGAGATACACTTTCATCCCTCAGTGTCATCTCTGATGGCTTGCTTTATTCATTCTCAGGATAAACCTTTGGGATGGAGGCTGTTTTCTTTGTCCTTTGCTTAAGCCATGCCAGGTGCTTTTGCTGTAGGAATTTTTATTATTGCAGTGGCAAGGTCCTTAGGGAGTTTTTACAATTTTTTTTTTTAGTGAAGTTCTAGTGACGTTAACAGGTGTGTCTTCATTTACAATGATGTTGTTTGGGCAGTTTGCACTTTCCTTCCTTCCTCAAGGATATTACCTTCTCATTATACTTTTCTCCAGTAAATCAAAGCAATATATTTTCAACACTGATTTCCTTGTGAGGGAGAGAGAATAGGTTGCAAATACCACTTGGTTGTTTGTTTTTTGTGGTATTTTTTTTTTCATTGTAGAATTGGACAACAAGAGCTAGAAATACTTCATGAGAAAAAGAGAGGTTCTCAGAATTTCCCTCTGTCCCTGGAGGTTTATGAGGTTTCTATAAATACTTAATTTCTTCATGTTGCTTCAGATATTCAGCACTTCAAAGTCAGGGAGAGGTCAGATTAGTGTGATATGTTCTCATTAATTATTTCATGGAAGAATATTTATACTTTTTCTTACAAACTTTGTTTGGACTTCATGCATAACAGGAGTGAAAAGTTTGTAAGCTTTTAAGTGGTTCAAAGATACTACTGCTGCCTTTGACAAAATAACTGCCTTACAGTTTTTGAAAAAAACATATTTGTGTTTCTTCGTTGTTGCCTTATGATGCTGTTTAAAAATTGTGATTTTGCTCTTCCAGTGACTGTTTTTCAGATATTGTTAGTGAATTTTACGGGGCGGACTCTTGTGTGTCAGTGTCAGGAATAATGCAGTGAAATCAATAGTAGTTTAAAAATACGTATGTGTTAAATCCGCAGAAGTAGTGGGCATCTTTAATTATCCACCTGAAATCATGGTGCGAAAGATGCATCTCAAACTGGTTTGTAAGTTTCATAGGGTGTATTTTATCTCTATAATGTATGTAAAAGATGTCCTAGAGAAAGACAATTGATTAGTAAATTCTGGAGTGTTAGGATTATTTCAAAGCAGTGATATTCTTTTTTTATTTTTTCTGTAAGAGCTTGAATACTTAATAGTATTATCCATTTCTGCCAATTGCATCAGATGGGAACCTCTCATCATCTCACATTGTTTGTAAAATTTAACACAGATAAAGCAGTTTAAATAAAGCCATACTGAGATATGCATCCCTTACCCTTAGGCTCATTCCAGTCACCCTCTGAGGATGCTCATCCTTACTTTTCCGTCGTGGACCTAAAGCTCCTTTTCCCAACTGGCAGTGGCACCAGTAGCTGACAAAGCTCAAACATATTTACTCCCACTTGGCACACTCCTCTTTGCCTGGCTTCTTGTACAGCTCTTAGTCTGATTGAAACAAACATGATCACTGAGATAAGTCTGGATATATTTGATTATTTGGCTGCTGCTTCAGAAATGAAGATTGTTACTGACTCAGCGAGCAAGACAGGTGCTATTTACAGAGTGGAGAAGCTGCTCTGCAAACCCAAGTCTGTGACTGAGAAAGCAGCAAGGAAATCCTCTCCTTTGGCCTCTCCAAACCCTGACTTTGACTGTACAGCTAGGTTCTTAGGTTTGCATTTGAAAGGCAGAGAAGACAATCTGCTGCAGATTGATGTACTGATTAGCCCTCAACCCTTTTGCTGTTTGAATGCACTGAATTGTTTTTCTGCTGGCAGACACACAGAGTTCAGCATCAGATTTTGACACACATGCTGCTGTCCCGAAGGATTCACAGAGCGGGCTGTGTTGCAGCTGCTGCATTTTCCACCAGTTAAATTGACAGTTACCTACTGTGTGGAGTTGCTAGGAGAAGGTGAACAGTCATCATTACAGCATATTCCTTCAATAACCTGTAGCGCTCTCTGATTTCTCTTCTGCAGGGATTTATATATGTCTCTGCTGCAGACTGAGCATTTGTACAGTCGTATTTTTTTTTTTGAGAGGCTGGTAGATATTTATTCGCTAAGAAACAATTCAGCATCAACTAAAGAGAGGAAAGCTCTGGCATTCGAACATATACTCTTTTTGTAGGGTGATGTGGCTGATACTGGCTTCTACCATCTGCTTTCCTATTGCAGCCTGTTTCTCCAACCTGCAGAGCACAAACCAGCCTTTCTTTCCTTCTGGATTGTTAAAACCATTCACATTTATTCTGCATGGCACTGAATTATAGTCCGTTTTAAGGAATCTTTTGTGCTTCTGTGTGTATTCCTACAGCAGAAAAAGTGCATGAGAAAGGAGCTTGAGCAGCCAGTAGTATAGTAGCTGGCTCACCCGTATGGATTAGACTCGTGAGGTCAGAGGAGCTGTGTGTACTTGCTCTGTGCTTGGGGGGGGAAGAGTGGATTTGTCTGTCAAAGTGAATAGCGGTTCAGGCAGGATCGTCCCTCCGCTGTTGTAATTCTGATGTGTTTTGATATGACAGCAGCTACTGTCTAACATGCGTGGATCTTCTGAAATTTGTAGTGGACTAAAGACTGCTTTTACTTGCTGCTGAGCCTGACTATAACTGTATCGCTGTAGGACAATAACGATGGGGGCTCGAGCAACTGAAACAACTCGGGAACTGGAAAGCGCCTCTGCAAAGTATCAAATAGGAGGACATGCAGAGAAAATGTGGCAACGGCTCAAAGGAATGTGAGTAGCTTCTCTCCTTAGCTTTTGTTCTGTTCCTTGGGAAAGAGAGTTTTCTTCTGTTTGTTAAAATGACTAATTAGCAAATGAGAGACTTATTTTTAAGCTGTGAATAGTATTTGCTCTTATAATACAGTACATCGTTCTCATTTACAATGGTACTTAGAATTAATGTCAGATTGTATAAGATTCAACCACCTCATTTAAAAGATGTATAACTAGTGATAGTTATTATCCATATTAAAATGCAGGTAAGTCCTTTCAGGTTAACACTTCGGTAGCTCTGATATGATTTTGTAAATGTTATCTTCAGAATCAGCATTTCTGGAGCTGTTTCATCGTTCCTGTCAGTATATACGGGTAAGTAAATTACTGCAATTCTATAGGAAGTATCGCTACTTTGCCTTTTGAAAGTGCCAGTAAAGAAATCTCATATTAAAAGGTGCTTAGCTTAGTAGGTTGCTGTGTCTCTGGTTTTTTGTCAATTACTTTGATGTTCAGTAATGCTAGAAACTGATTGAAGGACTATTTGAAGGGACCCCTTATGCACCTGCTGTGTCTAATCCACTCCTCTCAATGCAATTTTCACTGTAGACTTTTGGATCAGTAAATAAACATCTGCAGCCTGTTCGAAAGAAACTCTATCAAACTAGTGTGTCTTAAATCCCTCAAACTTCAACACCTTCTCTTGAGTATTTGCCTGGTTTTTGCTCTGAAAACTGATGTTAGGATGCTACAAATAAATACGTGTTACATTTGTTGCTTTGGAAGCAAGGAAATGGCACTCTTATTTTTGCTGGAAAGACTTGAAATACTGGGTTTCTAGAGGTATTCCACAGATGCTATATATGCCTCGGCTGCTGAAGGTAAACAGGTTATTTACAATGCATTGGCTATGGCACTGCCCATTTCCCCTGTGCATTGGCTAGAAACTCAAACTGGCTGTGGGGAAGGGGGTTTCCACCATCTCCTTTCTTCCAAGAGACATTGGTTTGCTTCATTGGAAAGTCACTTTTCAATTGTGGCCAGGGGTTTATCATATCTTCTCTGTGAAATGCTTTTGAATATTTTCTCACACTTCGGTAACAACTTTTCTGCTAGAAACCCCGAAATGCACAAAGCAGAGCAAACATTTTGTTCATTTGCTGATGCCACACATTTTGCCTCTGAATTTCCCCTGCTGGAGACCTCCATCAGTTTGTGCAGATTTCCGTAGGGTCTAAGCTACTGCCTTTTTTTGTTCTACAAGTTCTCTGTTAGCACTGGACTCTTGGGCTGAAACATTTCCTTTCAGCTGCCTCTGAGATGGTACCATTAAACTAATGTAATAACTAAACTAAACTAATGTAAATAACTAAACATTAATGACACTCAGCACAAGAGCTTCAGGAAATAAGGTTCATGCGTTAGGAGTAGTTAAAACAGTATTCGGAGTTTGTGGTGTATCAAATGGAGCTTAAATGTTTGAAAACCATGCATCTTTCAGAGATTAGTGCCTTATGACTGTTATGACAAGATAGTGATAAAGATAGTGCTAAAAAAAACCCCCAGGTTATATTAGATATATTAGATACATGCTCAGCTGATTGTTTTTCAGACTTACCCATGATTTTGTTTTAATTATTCTCTAGTCAACTGGAAATCACTGTCTAGTCAATATTACAAATCTTACATCAGGAAATTTCAAGAATTTAATTTTTTAGAACTCACTTTGTAGTGTAAGCATCAACCATTAAGGAAAAGAATTCATTTTGCTGATGCACAGATGTCAAAGTAGAAGCATGTTTATATGTGGTGAAGGAGAGGGACAGATAAGTGGGACTGCCACAGTTAATCAGGCTTGGGAAGAATTCTTTTATGAATTGTCAGTCAGGAGAATTGTTTCATCTTAGGGATGGGAACTTAGTGAAACTGAGTATGTATGATGCCAAATTATGGGGTCTTTAAAGTAGTGTGCAGCAGTATATCTACACTGGAGTCAAGACTTTATGGTTTGAATTATGAAGCTGAATCTGTTCTTGTTGATAGGGTACAGAGACCTACATAATTTTCATGTGATTTCAACACAATTCTACTATATTTTGCCAGTCAAGAGTGCTGATTACCTTTTTGCAAGTAGGTCATTATTTCTGAAAGAACATTGGATTTCATGGATGTAGCTATCTTGATAGAAGCTGTATAGTCCTGACTTAAAATTAGCTTTTATTTTCTCTTAGCATTTCAGCTTTTCACATAATAGACTTTTAATTATGGACTTGGCAGCAGAATTCCATATACATTTGGCCTCAAATGTCTTGAGATGTTTTTGTTACTGGTTCATTGATTTTTTCATTCATTTTTGTGAAATAGAGACTGTTCTATAAGATACATGAGTTGAATACACTCAAAGCTAAATGAAAATCCTTATTTGAATGCCCAATAAGAAAATCTGGGTATTGTGGATGCTTGAATGAAAGGGATTTTTTTATAGGTTTTCTACTCCCTAGGCTTGCACAGACTTTGCTCACTTAAGTGCTGCAATACAGGCTAGGATGTTCTGAATAAAATTAAAATGATAGCTAACTTTTATTGTATGCAGCCCTACAGCCAAAGTCTGTCTTCTGTATGGCAAGTAAAAATCTAGCTCTATTTTCTTTATATTGCGGTTGCAGCAATGCTGCAACCAAGGACATTATCTGGCAGAGAAGATATTAATTTGAATTTCATAACTTGATCCCTAGCACTGGCACTGATTTTATTGATACCTGAGTGGGTAAAACATAAGCTCACTGAAACAAGACTTCGTTGTGGAAATGGGTCGTGTATGTTTCTGTCTTGACTGTAGCTTCTGGTCCTTGAATTAAATATTGTCAGTATACAGACCACAAGCTTCTAGTGTTTTGTACTTCATGCAGAAAGAAAAAACAAATAAAGAGGGACTGTTAAATAACTTACATAATACTGTGGCTTTTATAGTTCTTTGTTATGCAGAGGAGTAAAAACAAAAGCCATTCAAGCTACTGCAGGAATTCCAGCTGCCTGACTGAAAAGGGGGTGTTGAACATCATCCACTTCAGAAGACACCTTGTCACTGCCCAGCCAGCGGGCTCCTTCTCAGGCCATTTAACGCTACTGGTTACACCTTTTCTCCCTCAACCTTTCATTCTCTATTGGTTGGAATCTTACTATGGACAGTAACTAAATCTCCAGCTTAAATGTATTTTGATGTCAAGAGGACCGAAAGATTTGCTGCCTAGGAGAGTTTGTCTTCACGTGCTGATAGAGCTTGGTAGGGAGCTCAGAAAGAGAAGCAGTTCTTTAAAGAATTTTGGTTCAGAATGCAGAGAACCAGACATGAAGCAGAACTCTTTATGCTTACTGACCTTGCAGGGTTTGGTATTCTCCTTCATCTTCAGGTAGACTTGACTTAACTCTGTGTTCTTCATTGCGTGAAAGTGTCTGTTTGTGGTATATATTGTCTGTCTGCCACTTTGCTCAATGTTAACACAGAACCGTCAGACATCCCCCTGCCATCTTACTTTATTTTACAAACTGACATTCTCTTTACAAGTAGCTTCTTGTAACCCCCTCACTGTCAAACACAATATTAGAGGTGGGTCACATTTCTGAGGTTTGAGGTCATTAGTGAGAAAATGGTTTTCATAGATAAACATAAGTGCTAGAATTGTCTCTGAGAAGCCAGAAAATCTCTGAAAGGGAAAATTTAAAATCCAAGGTCCCAAGAGTCTGGGAAATTGGATTCACATGTGGTTAGTATAGGCTAGTTTATGAAATTTTTACTGATTTAAAGAGAATATGCATTATTGCTATCACTGGTTAAAACTAATTTGTGCTAATTTGGATGGCAAAAGGGATTTGAAGAAAAGCATAAGCTTCTTTCCTTACAGTCTTCCCTTTCTTTGCTGCCACATCCAACATAATAGCCCCCAGCTGCTGCAGAAAGGAGAGTCTAAACTTTTAGACACTAGAAGGGATGTATCTGCAGACGCAGTTTGTTGATCCTGCAATGCTGCAGTGACAAATTGCGTGCATACACATTTATAGAGACAAAAGGGGCATTAGTCATTGATTTGAGGAAATTTGGCTTGATGTCAAGGAAAGTAGAGAAATGGCTTCCTCCTCACTGCTGAATTATCAGAAAAGAGAATTCTTTTAAAGGCATCAAATAGAATCCAGATTAGCAGCCTGTTGGGTCAAAAGGGACCAGAACACCCAGTCTTTCTCTAGGTCCATGGATACTGGTGGAAGAGCTGTAGAACAGTGTCCAGAACCAGATATGGCAAAGAGGACCTTCCTTTGTTTTTCCAGGTTTCTTGTTCACATTTTATTTTATACGATATTCAATGTTTGGGTTTGCTTGTTGCTCTTTTTTTCTATGCTCAATTTGCCTAAACTGATAGTTTAGTAAAGCTTAACTGAAGAGACTGTCATTATCAAAACTTAACATATTATGATATAAAGATTTATAAATTCGTGAGTTCTGAACAAATGAAAAGAGAAGAGGTAGAATTACAGGTGGATAACTATGATAAAAAATAGCAAGACAGATTGTCACTGATAGCTACATCAGGAAAAAATGGGTTCAAGTGGTTCCTGTAATTTTGCCTATTTTTGCTTTTTTTTTAAATGTGAAAACTTTTCTTTAAAGGAAAATCATAAACTCTTAAAAGTAATCCAAATGACAAATATATCTAAGAGGACTTTAAGTAAAACTAAAGTTGATTTCAGAAACGCTCTGAACAGAAAATTGGAGAAATTATATAATGATGTACCTGTTGATTGATATATATCTCATTGGTGCTATGATTACAGTAAGAATAGTTTAATTACAAATTGTGAACAGCGTTTTTTGATTCTGAAACCAAAGTCTGTTTCTGTACCTGAGTAGTCAGGTAAACAATTTATAATTATAACTTTGTAGCTTATAAATATGTATTTAATTAAATGTATGATATGATAAATTTTAGGAATTTCCAGACGTCTAGTAGAGAACTCTTTAATGA